AAGGGGACTACTGGGTGCTTGCAGTTGTGCACAGCCAGCTCGTGTTCAATCAAGCTAGATTGCTTGGGATCAGCTTGTTGGAAGCCTCTCTTCCATTGGCTTTGAACAGTACTTAAAATGCAGTAATCCCTTACTGAGTATGCTGAAAGCTTGAACAGCAGTGCAAGTTCAGAATTAAAAAGCGTCTTTAAATAGATAAGGGCATGACTGGGCTTAGCCCAACTTTTCTCGTGGAGTAGTCTGATGAAAACGCTTGGTTTCAAGGAGCAGGATATTCCATGAGAATGACTGTGTTGTGTTATAACACAGTGTGTTAGGTTTTTAGAAATACAGTAAACATGTTAAAATACTATTATGGCTTTGTACAAAGCTGTTAGTTTTCTTTTCAGTATCTTCAGTTTTTGTAGAGAGTTTCCCAAATAGGAACCATAAAGCTGAAGTTGTAATCACCCTTTCTGTGAGCCAGGAGCCAGGCTCAATGGACATGTAGATCTGTCATTCATTATTATTCTGGCAAAATAGCACTGGGATGTTCCTACCTGTAAAATTGTCTCTCTCTGAAATGTGGCAGAGGGATGTACATCGATATCAGGCAGGGGAAAAGCTAAGGCTTCCCTTGGTACCCTTCACCGGTTCTTGCAGTGATCTCTGTGGAGCCAACTGGGAAGAGTTGCTCTGCAGCCTGGCAGGAGGGAGCCCAGTGGCCTGTGGTGTGGCTCCTTCCCTCCTGGTGTTAGTGCTTTAATACATGCACAGCCTCTTGCCCCGGCAGGCCATACGGGAGAAACACCTGAACCATGATCCCTAACCAGAGCGGGAAGAGGAGAGAGTGCTTGTGGCTGGGGTGGATGCCTGCCCCCGAAAACTTCAGACATAAAGGCTGAAGTTGTTTGCAGTTGTAAGTAATTGAAAATAGGGGTTCTTAATGGAAAACCTTAACTATGAGCATCACTGGAACTCCACCTTTAATAACTTTAATGACTTGTATGTCATAACGAAGAGTGACGTGTGCTGAACAAACATCTCCATAACCTCATTTGTTAGGAGACAAATCTTTCAGTATCTAATGTTATGTCTTAAAGTCAAGTAAACAGTACATTTTGGTGCAAACAGACTGAGTTATGGAATTACTTACACTGTACGAACATCACACTGTGGGTGTGTACGTGTGACACATGATGGAGGTGACAGCATTGCTGACCAGCCTGGCTGTAACCTGAAGACCATTTTGACCAGGGCATAAGGGAGTGCTGTATGAACGCTGACTAAACAGGCACCGTATCTAGAGATGGATAATTGGGAAGGGGTAACAGGTCCCTGCAGAAGGAAACAAGCAGTGGGTTTTAGAGAGTGTACACAACTTTCTCTGCCTGGGGGAAACAAAAACCCCAGTGTGGAGCTAGCAGCGGGAGGAAAATAGAAACAAGTGGAAATATTTAGAGTGAGGTTTCTCTTTCAGTTCCCTTGTGGTCTATTTTTGTTCCTTGTATTGCACTTGAGAACCAGCAGTCACCAGGAGACTGGAGCACGTAGGTACAGTGGATTTACAAACACTTCAAGCTGTTACAGAGCTGCTCTTGTTGGTAGCCTGTGTTTGGCTCCATTCCTCTGTAGCTTTCTTTTCTAATTTTCTCTGTTTTAAGTTTTTACCTTTACCTATGGACATTGGGAAAATTGCTACGTATCTGGAATAGGGCAAATCCTGCTCTGTTTTTACTAGGCATTCCCTTTGAAATAGTGAACTTGTCCATTCTGACCCAGGCATTTCTTGTGTTGTAAAGCAGTGAAAAAGTTCCTGTGACAGGTGATTGTTACTGAGCATTGTAATTGCCACTGTGGTGCTGAACATTTTTCTGAATCGTTGTTTTGTGTTTGATAGTGTAGGTGTCATGTTTGATAGATGTGTTGGAGTGTGCTGTGACACTTCACTGAGAGAAGGTGGACACAGGTGAACTCACTGGAAGAGGATTTGGTTTGCTGCTTGTTTCGTGAGAACTATCAGTACTTAAAGGCCATCCCAGTTCAACGTACAGGCTCTTGGAGCCTCCTATGGTGGACTCATCTGTGCAGGTAGCTCTTCAGTGCTGATCTGCACCAGGGGGTTAGTGTTAATCACGTCATCTGCCAAGCTCAGTGTCACAGAGCAGAATGTGGCTCTGCGACGCGATGACTCTGATATGGGGCCAGTTCTCAGCTGGTGGTGTACCTCCAGGCAGGGAATGAAGTTCATTTGTTTGAAAGGCGTGTTCACAAACTCAAGGAAGAACTAAGTCCCGTGGTTCTTCGTGAGCTTAAAAATTCATAAATAAATTAACCACATTTAACTAAAACCAGGCAGCAGAATGACACTACCCTATTTCTCTGGCTTGGTGAGAAAAAACCAAAACGAAAACCAACTAAAAAAACCCAAACAACTCATTAAGTTGGTGTTTTACTTAGGGTAATTGGAAGAATAAAATCCAGATTAAATTTAAACTTGGGTTTATTACAAGTGCCCTGCAGCAGCTCTTACCTAATGAGCAGAACAAGCTGCTGCATAAACCACATTGTTTCCTTAGGCAAAAACTTTGGCCGAGATCTCCATAAGGTGTGCATCCCAAGCTAGAAGCTAAAACAGAATTTTTTGAGTCCTTATGTTAGAAAATGAATGTTAACTGTGGATGTGGATGTATAGCCCCAACTTTGACAAAACCTGGCCTTTGACAGCTTACATGGCAGCACCTGTGCACTTTAGGCTGAGGGCTCGATGGTCTTGCAGCCCGGAATTAAAATGGGTGGCTTGAAGCAGGTACTGGTGAAGAGGTTATGAAGGATGCTGCTGGCCAAGTCAAGGATATTTGATCTGCTTCTGAGCCAGAGTATGAACAGACACATGTTCCAGCCCACTGTTTTATGGCAAATAAAATTGGGGCGGTTGTATTTGTGCTCAGCTGCCTGCATACGTCTCGTCAGTGCTAACTTCGGCCATCCAGTTTTAATTTGCTGTCGTATGTCTGCCAGCACATTGGAGGAGGGTGGGAGGGAGGATATTTTCCCCGATGACTGCTGTTGACATTTGCAGAATAGAAGTGAAGTCAGTCGCTTGTTTGTTCAAAGGTTGTAGTGCCCGTGGTGGTTCTCAGCCAGCCGGAATCGCTCAGTGCCTGAAGCCCAGCAGGGACCTTCCCAGCTGCAGCATAGGGAAAACTGGTCAAGCTGTGTTGGTGTTTAACTTTGTTTCTTCAGGGAGGGGCATCAGTGAAACCAAAATGATTGATCTTGCTATACAGTTTGGGGAAGCAAATGAGAAGGTATTCTGTTCTTTGCTGCCCCCACAAAAAAGGGAAATAATTAAGGAATCGGTTGAATACATGCGGGGTCAGGGAAGCTGTGACGAGGGAAAGGACTGACAGCTTTTTTTCCTGAGGGCGTCTTGCAGCTTTGATTTTTCACTAATGGTAGCTACTGCAGAAGCAAGGCAAAATTTTAGTCTTTACCCCAAAATCTACTGGGGTGTGTGTGTGTGGAGGCTAATGTGTGTTTCTTCTGGCATTGCAGGCTCAAGGTAAGAGGGTCTGAACGACGTGGTTGCTGGTGGTCGTGAAAAGTAGCTCCTCTCTGCCTGGATCCAGGCTCTAGTAGCAATGTAGATAACTTTTCTCTCCTAGAAGGGTGATCATGAACTTGATTTTTCACAAGACTGAAAAAAACCTGCATTTTATTTCAGCAGGCATGTGTCTACTGGAACCTGAAAACATTACCGCTGCGTGAAAGTGGATTGTGGGGGCACCTAAAGGAAGAGAGTGCATTGAGGGAACAAAGAGCATGAGTGAGCTGTGTTGTAAGGAACAGGAGCAAATATAGAACAAAAATGAGCTGGTAATATGTATGAGCTGAGCCTGGTAAGAAACGCTGAGAGACTGGAGAAAATCACAACAGAAGAGATATAGCGGAAGTCACTGCAGAAAAGAGGAGGTGAAGCGGAACAAGGGAGAGAAGTGGGAGAAAGAGGAGGAAGCGATTGCTAAGTGCAGTTAATAACAGCAACAAAGAGAGTTTTAATTGTAAACTTGTTATAATTAACCACAGTTCTGCTCCCATGCGTTTCAGGAATGCACGTGGCAGGTAGTTTTCCTCTTGACGTTGCTGATGCAGAGTATGCTGGGTTTCCAGCCAAGCGGCAAATCCGCATTTGTGTTTACCAGGCTCTGAGCAAACATGTTAATAATGTCATTTGTCATGGGGGATGGCACTACAGGCTGATTTCAGATTTTTCTGTAGCAGACAGGGAATGCACTCTGATTCTGCCCTGTCTAAAGCTGCTCATTTTAACTGCTCGAGCATGAGCTCTTGTCACCTGGCGGGAAGACGTTGACCCTAGTTGGTGCTGGAGAGACCTTGACCTCGTTGGTATGACCCGTGGAGGCTCCTTCTAAATCCCCTGGGGGACTTTCTAAGTAGGGAAGGGGCGAATCTGAGGCTTGTACATTCTTTATGTCTGGAAGGATGAAAAACAACCATGGAGAGTTCCTAAAATTCATCTGAACTTAGTTGTCCTTTACATCTTTGTGGGAGGCCAGTGCCACATGCTAGAGAGCTGCTTTGGATGCTGGTGCTCCTTTGAATGCTCTTCTGAGCAAGTCAGGCAGCTTTTTGCATGCTGGCGAGCACAATTGCTGTGACTGAGATGTTATGGATGCATCTTTCAAATCCCTTTGGCAATTAAAAAAAAAAACCACAACAGAACAAGTGAAACCAGTGGCTGCAATTTCAGTTAGAGACGACCACTTCCCACCCCACAGAAAAACCCTCTGAATGCAGAAAGCGTGGCAATATGGAGGTCAGTGAGGGGGTGTGAGCCAAGCCCTGTGCAGTGGGAGCTGTGAAAGCTCAAATAATGTGTACTGTGGCTCTGTGTTTCTGGTGAATGCACCTGGCTCTGTATCGTCAAATCGCAGCTAGGTGTACAACAGCTGTAAAAAATATCCAACAGTTGTCTGTCTCTTCTTTTCTACTTGTAGGTTTATTCTTCAGTCTAAAGAAGTAATTCATAATCAGCTCTTAGAAAAACAGAGAATAGCTGAAGAGAAGATTAAGGAATTAGAGGTAAGTTTTTGGCAGGTAATGATGATGAAAGTAGAACGTTGAAGGTCAACAAGATGCTGTTTGCTGCATCCCTTGTATTTATCCGGTACTTTTTATTCTGAAGGATCGCAGCTAGGCAAAACACACCCCTGTTACAAGTAACCTACAAGTAATTCATGTCACTTGGTTTCTTTGCTAGATCTACGACCCTGGTGGGAATTGATTGTTCACTCTGTGTCCTGATATGAAAACTGGGGGTGAGGAATTCAAATGAGATTGGTAGGAGCAAGGTTTAAAACTAGCAAAAGGGTGTTTGTGTGGTTGTTTGCAACAGATAGGTGATGTGAAACTTCACCAGTGCTGAGGATATTAAAAGTTTTCACTGGCTCAGGACAATTGCACAAATTCATGGAAAAGAAATCCATTGAGAATTACCAAATATGTAGAAATGGCATCCTGCTCAGGAAGTCCCTGAGCTAAAAATGTCCAGAGGCTGGGAAAGTATGAGGAGGAAGTCCTGGATACGCCTGTCCTGTCCTTACACTCTGCCCTAGGCATCTACTTGTGGCTGCTTTTGAAGACCACATCTAGGGAAGATGGGACTTTGATGATGTCATGAGAGCACTTCTGTCTTCTTATGGTTATCTGGTTGGAGTATTCAAGGCAGGGAGGAATATCTAGGGAATATAAAATCGTGTCTGCACAAGTTGCAGTATTCAAACAAGTTATCTACTCAATCTTGACTATCTTCTAGTGGCTGCATGTACGGCTTACAGTTCTTCAGAGAAGATGTTAAAAATGTACTTTTCCAAGGCCCTTGGTGTATTTTTTTCTTAATACCCCTAAAATATAATTAATACAAAACCCTGTTCCTTGTTTTTTTGGGGGGGAATGACAGAGAAAGCAAAGACTGAATTGTGTAAAGCTGCTTATCTCATCTGTTAGTGTTTTGGAGAAAGGGAGTGTGGAGACCAGCTAAGTAGGGAAAAGCAGGAATAGGAAGCTGGTGCTCAGACCTACGCAAACCTGTGCAGTTCTGACTCTGTTGTCTCCCACTTTCACTAAAGCAGAAGTAGAGTTTGTATTTTTTTTAATTCCTTCTTAAAACTCAGCTTGCCTGGGGAGCTGTAGGGCAAGCACATCGCCACGTGCTGTGTTACCTGGAGTTTTTCTGTGCCAGATACTAAGGGGTTTTGTGTTTCTGGCCATGAGAACTTCTGCACAGGGAAAACAAGTACGCTGTATGTTTCAGATGGTGTTAATGCAGACAAGGCACTGTCGTTTTTATGGTGATGTGATAAAAGTGATTGTATCCTGGCTGCTCTGGAGCCATCTCAGATGCAAGTAGCTTTACACAGAGACAGCCCTGCGACTGGGTTTGGAGAGCTTTATAGCAGTGCCCCTGGGTTTCGAAGTGATTGGAGTGTGGTTCACAGCCTCTGTTTACAAACTGCCCACCAGGACCCTTGCTGCCAGGTCTGTCGGGCTGTGGTCAGCTTTTTGGCTGCTCTGCCCTTCAGCTGTGCATCTCGGTTTCTTCCTGTTCCTGGTGGGGAATGATCTCGCCCCCTGAACTTTCCGATGGCTGAGTTCAGCAGAATGGATGGAATTCCCCCCAAATTATAACTTTTGCCATTCTTACACAAAGCCTCAGAGCTGGCTGCTTTGCAAATGTGTTTTTCTGCTTCATAGCTCCCTGTTGCTGGAGTCTCTGGTTATGACCACTGAATTGAAGTTCCCAGCAATAGTGACTGTCTCAAAAGGCAGTGGGAGTGGAAAGGTGGTTGCCACATGACTTGTTTTCTCTTTTTAACCATGTATAGTAGGGTTAGATTGCCAAAACGTTCAATAGTTTAAGTGAACGTTCAAGTCCATCTTTTAACTACTCTGCTTCCTACTGGCTGGCAGTTTTGTGAAAAGGATTTTCCTTAGGCTTGGGATTCCCCGTGGAAGAGAACAAGCTCTTAGACTGACAGCTCCTGGGAAGTGAAATTTCAGAGGAAATACTTGAGTCCAAGTCTCAGAGCACTTATCACAGGAGTAGGGGATTTTGCTGTCCTGAAAACCCGTTGTGACAGAAGCAAGAAAGAATGTGAAACTTTGTGACCTTGTGCTTCCACTGCATCGTTGTAAAATAAATATCAAACCAAGATAGGTTAAAACTTCCCTCCATCTGTTATTAAAACTGGAAGGATTTAAAAGCTTAGGTTTATATTTTACATTGTTAACTACCTTATGACTTACTCACGTTTCTCACTTTGCATAGCTGAATCAAGCTGGTCAGAGTAATCCTCCAGCATACGGTGTGGCTGCTCTGTTTACTCATGTAGCATGAGCTCGAGACGATTATGCACTGCCATTACGATGCTATTGCCAAGGTATTGTGAAATGTGTATTTTTGAAACAAGCCTGAGTCTGAGAAATGCTCTCCCTGCTAGCTCGGTGCTGTTGACTGAGGAGCACAGCACAGAGGGCTGGGTTCACTGCTGAGCTCTTCTGTAAATCCAGCCAGCTGCCTGTCAAGGAGAACTCCTGAGTGCCGACTCTGAAAATGTGGGCTTTAGCCTGATTCAGAGACGTGAGCTTGAGTTTCCTGACATTCACAGCTGTCAGAATTAACTTTGAAAACAATGAGGGGTTTGAAAGCTTCTTTGCTCCCTCCTCTGGTATTCTCCACTGCAGTGCATGATTGCAGTTATTCCCTTTCACTCACTCCCCTCTCTTGGGTTCCTCTGCTGTTGAAGTGGTGCATTGCCCTTTTCAAGGCAGCATCACAAAATTGACGTGATACTGCTAGTTTTGTCCTCCCATTGCATGGCAAAGCAGCAAGGAGAACCAGACCTGTCTTTGTACAGGGCTGTGAAAATAAGGCTTGGCTGGAATACGCGTTGGATGTCCTTTGTGAGAGGACCTGTGTTCTGACAACAGCAAAAGGGTATGGATGCGTACAAGGGGGCAGATGCACAGCCTGTCAGTTACTCTGCAGAAAAAGCACGGTAGCGTTTCCCTTCGTGTTAAAGCTAAGGTATGAATGTGAATATATATGTACATATGTAGCATTCTTAGCTTCGCAACTTGTATATAATCCTTTGGAATCCCAATAGACTACTCAGGCTTGCTGGCAAAAATATACGTGCCTGCATGAAGGCTGTGCCATGGAGGCTTACAAAAACCTGCGTGAATCTTGCAGAGGTTCATGGCATAGGCTCAGTCCCCTGCTGGCATGGGAAGCGTCCTGCTTAGCAGTAGCGATTTGGATTTTTCCAGTCCTGATACTATCAAATTCTTTTTGTGTTTCACAGTACGAGGGGTATGTGTTAAATCTATTTTGAAAGCATTCTAAAGGGATGAGCACAGACTCTTTTTAGCTCGGCAATGTTTGTGCAGTATTAGGAGAAAAACCAAGTAATGTTTTTCTTCCCTTGTTTTTAAGGAAACATGATATGTGAGGGGTGGAACAATGCTTTGTTTCAGGAAATGTTATCCGTTTCCATTGTAGGGCTAGATGGATTCTGTTTTTAAATGTGGCATTTTAAAAAGAACAAACTCTATGATGTTATAAAGACATGGAAAATTGATTCTTCGTTAGGGGTGGAGAAGGTGATTATTTCTGTGTGTTTTCTCTGATAATATCTGATAGTCCCCTTCTCTCCTGCTATATTCAGCATGTTTGGTTGTCAGGCGTTGTCAGACTAAATGGCTAAAAATAACAAATAAGGGGGAGGCTCTGCTGGGCAGCTCTGTCTACTGTGTGCCACTGAATTTAGCTCCTTCGTGAAAAGGGCAAAAGCAACCTGCAGTTTTCTGGTTGAATTGGATTTCAGTTTTAAACTCTGACCACAACATTGTTGTGTTCTTGTTTCCCAGGCAGTTCTTTCACATGCATATAGGAGATGGAAAGTTTACTGCTGCAGAGATAAAGGGTTGGTTGTTTTCTTCTCTGTCTGTCTGGAGTAGAAATGATTGGGAAAGCTATACCTAAGTGCTTGATTTCTAATTCAGAAGTTCTGCATGTGATCCCTAAAATGCTGTGTCCAACTGGCTTATCCCACACAGGAAACTTCTTTGATCTCATTGATGGTGGAGAAATGAACACTGTGCTCTCAAACGCTGCTGTGCTCCACGTTTGAAGGCTTCGATGGTGTTGCAGTGGTGCTTTCTGGTAAAGTTGAAGTGTCTGCATTGCAATGCCTTACGCTGACCAGACATCAGAGGTGACAACACACTTCTTCCCTGCCACTGCCTGGATGCCAACTTGCTTGTGCTGCAGCTTCCGTTTCCCTCATCTTCTTTGTCTGGGAGCTTTAAAATGGCTTTGCTGTAGCCCTGAGGTGGAATGGTGGTGACCCTTTCTCGATGAGTCGGCCAGGGTGTCTCTGATGGTTGTCACAACAGTGTTTTCATACCCTGTGGGAACAAAGATTTAAGGCACGCGAGGCGTGGCTGGGAAGAAGTGCTGCAGCCTGGGAGTTCACGTTCTCCAAGCAGGTATGGTTCAGAGGGACCTGCGCAGCGTGGCCACGTGCCTCTGACGTGCTCCTGCGGCAGCTCTCTCGATGGCCCTTTGGTTTTTACACTGAAACAGTCAGCGTGGGGGCCAATTCTGAGGGTGGCTTTAACAATGTGAAAACAAGTCTCTTGAGATTTGTGGTGCGCTTTCCCAACCACTAAGTGACCATCAGAAGGTAGCAATTGTTAGGCTGTTCCCAAGTTAGACCAGTGTCTTGCCGGGATTTACAGTGTAGAAGCTCTCATCCCCTGGTTGGCTCGGGAAAGGCCAGTGCCCAGGAACGTGCGGTGGGCTTTTTAAATAAACAGGAAAATAAGGAATGCTCCTGTTTGCTTTGGAGAGGGAAAGCCTCAAGAATAGCCCTCTGTGCTTTAGCCTGGAGCAGATTTTACTTTGGATGAGTCTGCTGTTCTCTCATTCTGTTGCTGGCATACATGCACGTACTGAGGACATGATTTCAAACACATGTTGTCACAGAGGCTGCCCCTTGTCTCTAAGTGTGTGCATGGAC